AGAATTGTTTTTAACCTTGTTGTCAGAGAGTTTACAGTGGTCATTGTTGTAATAACATGATACATAATTGTATTTTCGTAAAGAGTGCAATGAAGGACACATTCTTTGTCCTATCTGACTTGTTGCAACCTTCTTTTTGTAGGATGGTCGAACAGAAATTGTGCAGTCAGCCAGACGTTTGCTGCAACTACTGACATCGTCAGATAATCTACCAAACACATCATGTGTCGCAGCTACAAATCAGAATATTGGGTATAGTATAGTTTGTTTATTTATTAATTAATTAATATATTTACTTACAATTATATCGTTACTCATGAATATGTATCATGCAGAGTTGAGCGTCATGTAGGTGGGAGTGACAACACTGCTCGGACTGAAAGACCAACTGTGCAAATGGAAATGACCAGGTTATTGGACTATTTATTATTACAAAATACTTGTGCTTTCCTTTTCATTTAAATATCTCTTTGTTGTGTTCTACTAGAACTTTCCCTGGTCTTTTTTCCAAAAGCAGAGGGAAAAAACGCTTTCCTCCACCTTCTCTAATGCCTGCCAAAAAATGTAAGCCACTTCAAGTGTCTTTCTACCTTCTCCCCAAGGAGTTTGAAAGAACCCCTACTGATTTGGACAAAGTGTCGCATTTGGAGGCAGGCTTGGGTTCAAGGACTGCTTGTTTAGATGAAAGTATTACACATGAAGAGGTAATTGATCATTGTACTTTTGCCATAATGATAAAAATTTTAAATGTGTTTTTGTTTTCAAATTCAGCTTATTGTATTATACACTGAATTTACTTTTCTTTTCACAGTTATGTGATGCCCTCATCCAATTATATCCCAAACTGCAAACGATCACTGGCGGATGGCTACTGTATAAATCCACTGGTATATTTTTCAAAATTTCTAAAGAGACAACTGTAACAGCAAGCCATATAAATGTATGTTCTTATTTCAACAGCTGGATGGGGTATTCGCAAACTCTCACTTGTGTCACCTGATGATGCTGGCTATACAGGCAGGATATTGAAGTCTGTTGCTCAAGGGGGTCAAAAACTTTACATTGTGCCTATTCAAGAGGATATTGGCACAAGTCCACTAAAGCTAACCAATGAAGCGTTCAAGGACATGGCAAAAGCCAAGTGTCAGAAGTGTGGAGTAGATGTCCCTCTTCAGCTTTTACAGGATCACATCAACTCTTGTGCAGTTATTGAAATTGATTTTGATCCAACTGATGAGGACCCCAGTCATCCGGATGAGGAAAAATGTAAGTTTTCATCATTTCTAATGTGAAAAACAATTTGATTTACAAATCCTGGTTATTTTATTTTCTCATTAACAGTGCAGCCATGTCCTGTATGTTTGAAGATCTTTCCCACGGAGTTGATTGAGCGACATGCTTCATCATGTGGGGAAAGGTATGCATTTTTTTGTGTGGGTTTATTCACAATCTTTCATTGGTCACACAAGCAACAAATGTGTCACGCTCAAACTCTTGCTTTTTCTTTGTCTTTAGTTCAGTTTCACCCCAATCTGCAATAGCTCCTAATGAAGAGTTTGCAGCTATTCCTGGACCCTCCAAAGTATCTACTGTTTATGAGGGTAATTTGAGCAATACTTTATTGATTACTATAATAGAATGAATTTGTGAATTTAGTTTTCAGTATAAAATGTGCATCATTTCTATACTGTATTCTTATAGTAGGTTTATTATTATGTCCCTAGAATGGTTATCTGCAAAGGATCCAGGCAGGGTTATTTTGGAGACTGCTCAACATCATCTCCAAAGTCATGAAAATGAAAAGCCATTAACTCTTAGCATGGACATTAGAAAAAGTCCCACAGAACAAGACATGGCCCTCATCTCTTTTTATAAACAAACAAATGTAGCATGGGCCCGTCCACTGAAATGAAACTGAAATGCCAACTGGAAGGTAAGCCCTATTGAATGCTGATGTTGTCTTAAAGGCAGTTATTAAATTTGAACTTTTATGACAGGGGATACTGCTGTAGGGCCTGGTGTTACACGCTTCTTTTTGTCTACATGCATGGAAAAACTAACATCAGGTTTTCACATACATTTTGGTATGAAATCTGCTTCTGACATGCAGACACTAAATCTTTTGTATATTAAAATGGTTTTTTGTTGTTGTGAAAAATAATTGTTTTTCTACAGCAAATGCCAATGTTACTAAGCTTTTTGAAGGGGAGCCGGGTCATCTGGTACCATCAGCTTCACACTTTCTGGTTGAAAGTGACCTATTCCTCATGGCAGGGCGGATGATGGGTCACTCTTTCCTTCATGGAGGGCCCTGCCTGTCTGGACTTAGCCCCGCGATTGTGCATGTCCTTCTTGGTGGAACTCCTGAGACTTCTACGGTCACCCTGGAAGACTGTCCGGATTTGGACATCTGCGACACCATCAAGCTTGTATGTTTTTTGATGAATTGTATTCATTATTGCTGAATCAAAAAGCGTACGAACGATATAAACTGTATATAGCAGATGTTTTTACCTTTACATGTTTCAATTGGGAGAACTCCCATTTTCTTCAGAAGTGTCTCCTGACGTGTGTGATGTGCCCGTTATCAGCTGATGTTCCCAGGTGTGGCCAACCGCACAAGTCTACCAGATCTGTCGGCCACACCTGTGAACATCAGCTGATAAGACGTCGCACACGCGGTGTGACACTTCTGAGGAAGATCAGTATTCCCCTTTGAAACATGTAAATATAGATAAAATCTACAATACCTTTTGTCTCATAATTATAATTTGTATATTTGCTGACATTACCTCTGCCAACTGTTCTTTTAGTTGGAAGGTGATTCAGAGCTGTCTGAAAAAGATAGAAAGCAGATCCAGGAGTTGGCCTATGCATGGGACCTCCCTTCTCTGAACAACAGTAACCGCAAATGGGTTTTTGAAAAACTTTTAATTCATGCAGTAAGTAAATGCCGTTTCTGATTTAATTGTATTTTTATTTTTCTATCAAACTATAGTGGTGTAAAAGGTTGGGTGCTCAAAGCTTTGCATTACACTGCATTTAAATGAAATAATTTTGCCATTGACATCATCACTAGTCTTGAAGTTTAAATACATTCTCCTTCACAGGTGATTGGACGAGTTATTAGACAGATTAAGCAGCTTCGTCGAGGACTCAAAGAAACACCATTATGGACAGTTCTGACCAAGAGACCAGACACAGTAGAAGTACTTCTCCCACAGAAGGGTGCTGGAAATATCAGTCCGGAGGTCAGGCATATAGACTGGTGTGAATTAAGTAAAATACTGATGCAATTGCAATTTTTATTGTGTGGCTTGTTAACACAGGTTCTTCTGCAACGTATCATTTGGCCGAAGGCTGACGACGACGATGATGACAATGATGAGTGCTCAGTTGAAATCAAGACCGGTGTGTTTGGCTATCTCCGGGAGTTCATCACTAAAGGTGTGTTTCAAAAATACATTTGCACTAAATAGAATTCAGTACTTTTGATGAAATTTAAAATTTTTACACAACATTTTATACTTTTATCTGTTCTATAGCAGCACCAACTGAACTTCAGAATCTGATTAAATTCTGGACAGGCTGGGAGATCCTGCCAATAAGTTTGTCTGTAGAGGTTGTTACCGGAAGATACGTTACTGCTGCCACTTGCCTAGAGATGCTGCGCATACCGTGTCACTACAAGGATTATGATGGATTTCACAGTGACTTGCTTGCTTCTATATCCACCTGCCACACAGGATTTGGTTTGGTTTGAATTTTAAAGATTTGTGTTAAGAATATTCACTGTTCATATAACTAACGTTATTGAGGCATTCATGTTTATAGCTCAACTTTGTTGCCATTATGAGGTCAAATCTTATACATGAATAGGATTATTCCCTCAACTTCAGGTTCATCCTTGGCATTATAGTTACCATTTCAGCGCTGACACATTAATGGAACCATTTCAGCTTTTTTTAGTACAAGTGAGAATGAATGTTTGTATCCTGTTCAGAGCCATTTGTCGATACAATAGTGATCCTTTGTACTCTTGCACTGTTACTAACCACTGAATAAATCTACAGGCCCGTCTTTGGATTATACATATTGTTTAACATTTGAAAGTGGGAATTGAAATTTGAGTAGAGCTTCTGAGTCCCCATATAAGGAATGACATAGATTGATTAAAAATGTCACATCTCATGAATTGCAATGATTTATTTCATGAAGAAAGCATTTGCTCACACAGCTGTACAGCAGATATATATATATCACAGCCAAAAGATTGTGATGCAGCCATTGGGTCAACTGCTTCTTTCAAAGCTGCCAACTGTTCATCCGTCAGAGGAGAGGCCAGGTCGGGGACAACAATGCCAGTTTGGTCATTGCAAGGCAGCCCACTGTTTTCCCACTCAATGTGGAGGAAGTCAAAATCCTACCAAAAAGATAAAACATTAATAACAATGCTTTTCATTTTCAAAAAATCAATACGCGCACCTGATCGTATTGTGTTCCGGGAATTGGGTGGTGGGCATGTCCTAGCATCCACAGTTGGTTTGGTGTCATGTTGCCTTCTGTTCGAAGTGCATGATTATCCCAGCCACATCGAAAGGTATCCAGGTCTTCCTGGAGCCGCGGCAGAAACACGTAGTGGCAGCAGAAGAGATGAGTAACACTGCCAATGCTGAGGAAGCCTTCCTCTTCAAGATAATGGAGAACATCATAGTAAACACTTGTTACAGCCATCCACAGATCTCTCCACAATCTCTCTATCCTAAAATGTAGGAAGAATACATTTGCTATTGTACTTTTCATGATTTATAATACACACAGTATAACAGTAACTTGTGTATCTAATAGCTTAAGTACTGTCAACTCACCTCTGGTTATGTACACTTTTTCCAGATATAAAGCTGCTCCTTCCAGTTCCACGTACTGTGAACATAAGGCGAGCGATGTCCACATTTTCAACACCCTGATCACCACGAACCCTAAAATCCCAATAAAATATTGCAAGCTTTAGTTTATTTCATTATGTGAATGTCATTTTCAAAAGTAAAATGGAAAGATGAAGTGACGGATTAACATTAAGTATAGTTACAGTTGGAAATTAAACCGGACAACCAATATAGGTAGTCACGTTTTACACAGTTGTAAGTTCATAACATTTTTGGATTGCTGTCCTGTCATTTACACGTTTGTAAGTAACATACCGTAAAGGAAAATCATACTTCTCAACTGAAGTTTGGAAGAAAGCCAAGGCTGTGGATGCTAGGTTGTTGCAAGATGCACCCATATACATAATCTGCAGAGTAACACAATAACATAAGTGGAAAAAATAAATTCTACATTAGATCTACTATGCTTACCTTACGAGAAAATCCATCAATGCCTCCAAATATAACAATATTATAGCTAAAATAGAAGACATTAAAAGGATGAACAAAACATTGCCACAGGAACAACACACACATAAAATAGGAAACAATACCGGATCAACTTGTGATTTGTATCGATGTGCATCAGAGTGTGAGGTCCTGGAACTGAGTATGTGCGACGATTGATGCAACCCAGGTTGAGCGTTCGAGCTATGACACCACTGGTGTCAACGCGGTGCATTGAAGCTCTGACGCGCTCATACTGCACCCTTAGTTCTCTGTTTTGAAGGAGGGCCTTCACCATTCGATATCCAGAGTGAGGATGCCTGGATGTGATCTCCCTCACGTACTGGTCCAACTCGTCATCAGACAAGGTGCTGTACAGTGTTCTCACTCGCAAGTCAAATTCATCCATACGTCTGTATAGTGTGCTTCTGGAGATTCCAAAGATTTTTGCAATAGATGCGGCAGGAAAGTTGCTTCCAAAAAGATGCTGTAGATGGTTTAAAGATACCACCATTCTTTGACGACCTGTTGGTCCTTGTTCAAATTGTACAATTGTAGTGTGTCCTTTGTGTCTGTCTTTTTCATGGTTTATGAGGTTGTGTAGTTCTGTTAGTGCATTTAAAATATCTGCAGATATGTGAACCTGATTTGTCAGAGCATTTAATAGTACAAACTCTTGGGTAACAGTGAAGTCCAAAAAGTACAAATCCAGGGGCTCAAGTTCGAGAATAGTTTCCAGACGACATTGAAGTCGCAGTAAAAGATGATTCAACAGGTCCTACCAAAGAGAAAACTTGGTTAAGTGATGCATATGTTTTGTTTTAACTGCCCTCTGGATACACAAAACATTTTTTTTTCTTTTCACAGGTTTTGGGCCAGGTTGTTCTCTTAACATATGAAACGAAAGTTAACTCATCTTACAATAGGGAACGTAATTATTCACTGGTTCAATGAGTTTCCAGGCTTCACAATGGTTTGGTTTGGTTGGTCTTGGTTTGACAGCTTTCAGAGGAAAGCTAGTGTGGTGAATAATGCATCAATATTTCTTCACAATGTTGTATAGTGTTAGTGATTTTAGCACCTTTAATTACATCTGCTAGTGGAAAACGGACCAGTGACATGCATGCGCTATCTTTCAACATATGTATGAAGCCAAATTTAACTACAAAATAGAGAAAAAAGTAATAGTTACCGTATTGCCTCTACCCGCCATTTTCCTCCTTGGACTTGTCCATGTGACCACATTAGCGATGTGAGATTGGCTGAGAAGTCAGATCGACTCATTCAGGATCGACTGCTATACCTTGGTGTCCCGGATGTCCACAGTGAATTTTTTGCCTGTTGAATTTTTCTCGTTGAATTTTGACTGTTGAATTTTGACTGTTGAATTTAAGGGCTTGTTTTATTTGAAACTAAAATCACTATGAAATTGATAACCAGTGACTGAAATTCGCAGACACAAATATTCAAGATATTAAAACATTCAAATAGATGAATTCAGGTTCATTTTAAATTCAATTTCTGATGGAACAAATGCTCCGTCTGTTTGTTTTTTTCCAGCGAATTTCACAGTGCATTGAATTTGAGGTCTTGAAAATAAACATTGAATATTTAAAAAGTGAATATGTCATTTTGAAATTTTTATTACATTGAATTTTGTAAACTGAATTTTTAGTGACTGAAATGCAAAGACAAAAATATTCAAACATGCTTTTTCATTGGTAAAAATTTCAAATGGAAAAATTAAAGCTAAAAAAAATTCAAAATCTGATGACACAAAAAATCTTCCATAGAGCCAAGCCATTTATGGCTTTATATGTTAAGAGAAGGATTTTAAACTTTATTCTGTACTCCACAGGAAGCCAGTGGAGTGATTTTAACACCGGAGTTATGTGCTCCCTCCTTTTGGTTCCTGTTAAGGTCATTCATGTGTTGATGGTGTCTACCATGTATTGATGGTGTCATTCATGTGTTGATGGTGTCTATCATGTGTTGATGGTCTGAGACGGCCTTACTGAGAGTGTCCAGTGACCTCATGATGTCTGCTGACTCTGGACAGTGCACTGTTCTTGTTCTCTTGGATCTGTCCTCAGCCTTTGACCCGGATGAGCCCAGATCTTGCTGAGAAGACTGAGGGATGAAGTAGGTCTGTCAGGGTCAGTTCTTCAGTGGTTCTCTTCCTACTTATCTGGGCGGAGCTTCAGTGTTAAAGCAAACCAAATCAGATCTGAGTCAGTAGATCTGTTGTGTGGAGTGCCTCAAGGCTCAGTCTTAGGCCCTGTGTTGTTTTTGTTGTATGTGCTCCCTTTGGAAAAGATTATTGAAAGTTGTTGTGATGTTTCTTATCACATGTTTGCAGATGACATCCAGATTTATTGCACTTTTAAGCCAACTGAGCTCCATAGGCTCCATTCCTTAGTTCGTTGCCGAGTGGAAATGAAGCAGTGGCTAATTGAGAACACTTTGCAGCTGAATAGGGACAAGACCGAAACACTAGTGATTGCCCCTGATGATTAAATACCAGGGATTAAACAATACTTGGCTGATGTAGGCCAGTCTGTTAAACCGAGCCTTAGAAATCTGGGTCTTATTTTTGACAAGGATATGTCACTAGTTCAACTCTGCAAACAGCTGACCAAAAACTGCTTTTTTCAGCTGAGAAACATCTCCAAATGTAAGAAAATGGTGTCACAGAACGACTTGGAGCTCATAATTCATGCCTTTGTGTCTTCTCCTTTAGATTATTGTAATGGTTTGTTTTCATGTCTGAACAAGAAGGAGCTATCACGTCTGCAGTTAGTGCAAAACTCTGCAGCTCGGGTTCTCACGCACAAACAGGAGGAGCACATCACCCCGGTCCTCAAAGCTCTCCACTGCTGCAGCTGTGTCCTACAGGATACATTTTAAAATACTGGTGCTGACTTTCAGAGCTCTGCATGGTCAGGCTCCCCCTTATATCAGCGATCTGATTCAGCCTCAGGCCCCCACTCGGGCCCTGAGGTCTGTGGATCACAATCTGTTGATGGTCCCACGCACATGCTTTCTAGGACCAGGGGAGGCCGGTTCTTCCAGGACCAGGGGAGGCTGGTCTTTCTAGGACCAGGGGAGGCCGGTCCTTCCAGGACCAGGGGAGGCTGGTCTTTCTAGGACCAGGGGAGGCCGGTCCTTCCAGGACCAGGGGAGGCCGGTCTTTCTAGGACCAGGGGAGGCCGGTCCTTCCAGGACCAGGGGAGACCGGTCTTTCTAGGACCAGGGGAGACCGGTCTTTCTAGGACCAGGGGAGACCGGTCTTTCCAGGCTGTTGCTCCTAAGCTCTGGAACAATCTTCCGCTCTCTCTGCGGCTGATGGAGTCGGTTGATTCATTCAAAGGTCAGCTAAAAACCTATTTATTTGTGCTGCTTTTACATAATTTTCTTGCGGCTGTTTTAAACCTGTCACTGAGTTGTCTTGGCCATTATATTTACTGTATGTATATTTTCTATTTTTTGTATGCACATTTTAAATTGTATTTTGTCTGTTTTTACCTGTTTAAACTGTGAAGCGCTGTATAAATAAAGCTTACTTACTTACTTACTTATGGTGTCTATCATATGTTGATGGTGTCTATAACCATGTGTTGATGGTGTCTATCATGTATTGATGGTGTCATTTATGTGTTGATGGTGTCTATTATGTGTTGATGGTATCATGTGTTGATGGTGTCTATGACCATATTTTGATGGTGTCTATAACCATGTGTTGATGGTGTCTATCAATGTGTTGACCATCAACACATGATAGACACCATCAACATATGATTGACACCATCAACACATGAAAGACACCATCAACACATGATAGACACCATCAACATATGATTGACACCATCAACACATGAAAGACACCATCAACACATGAAAGACACCATCAACACATGATTGACAACATCAACACATGGTTATAGACACCAACACATGGTTATAGACACCATCAACACATGGTTATAGACACCATCAACACATGGTTATAGGCACCAACAACACATGGTTATAGGCACCATCAACACATGATAGACACCATCAACACATGATAGACACCATCAACAGAGGATAAACACCATGCGGTGTGCCGCAGGGTTTGGTACTCGGACCGATTCTTTTTACTCTCTACATGCTGCCACTGGGAAACATTATTAAAAAGCATGGAATTAATTTCCACTGCTGCAGATGACACACAGCTTTATCTGTCGATGAAGCCTAATCAGACAGATCAGCTAGAAAAGCTCAGTGCCTGCATAAAGGACCTTAAAATGTGGATGACTCTTAACTTCCTACTTCTCAACCCGGAGAAGACAGAAGTGATCCTACTCGGTCCGAAGCGCCTGCGTGACTCCCTCACTAACCAGATGGTTACTCTGATAA